GCTTCTTCAGCGTCTCCCATGTGGGTGCAGGGACCCAAGCACTTGAGCCATCTCCCACTGTTTTGCTAGGCCACAAGCAGAGAGTTGGATTGGAGGAGGAGCAGCTGGGACATAAACTGGTGCCCAAATAAGATGACAGCACCACAGGTGGAGGCTCAGCCCACTACACCACAGCTCCAGCCCCAGTAGGTATACTTTTAAAAAATAAGTCTGCTCTGAAGAGGTTTAGTGGTCATAGTTGAACAGACATGAAAATTGAAAACCCAAATGTTACTGTTATAAATTAGAGATAGGATCTATGTACCTCAATTAGTAAAAAATTATAACAATTCATTGACCATCTACGAGCAAAGTGATACATTATTTTCAAATTTAAAATTTATTCATTTGAAAAGCAGAAAGAAAAAGTAAGAGAGAGATCGATCTGGTGGTTCACCTGGTAGGCTCTGTTGAAGCTAGGAGCCTGAAACGCAATCCAGGTCTTCCGCATGGGTTACAGGCACTCGGGTACTTGAGCCATCACCTGCTGGCTCCCAGGCTCATCTTAGCAGGAGGCTGCCTTGGAAAGTGGGGTCATGGCTTGAACCCAGTCATTCAGATACGGGATGTCGGTGTCCCAAGCTATGGCTTAACTGCTGGGCTAAACACCTGCCCCGAAGTGCTATACTGTTTTTAAAAGTTACAAAATAATACAGACGTCATTCTTCATGCAAGGAGCTTTAGTCTAGTCCAGAGTCATAGCAGAAGAAGCCTAACACAATCACAGCACTCCCAATGAAGGTGTGCTCCGATCTCCCTCTGTGAACAGCCCAACAAACCACCTTCTCACATCCCTGGAATGAAGACTCTATCTCGTTCATCTCTTCCTCCACAGCTGAGTTCTGTGAATCAAATTCAATAGTAACAGTTTCCATAAGTTCTAAGACATGAAAAATAAAATTACTTCTTTTCAAGTCACTTTTGCTAGCTTATTTATTCAGCACAGCAACATTTCTTACAAGACACTCTACCGGCATATAAGGATGAATTGTTGATTATAATTCACAAATAAGTTTATATCCTACCCTGGACTCCATATCAGTAGAAAAACCTATATAGTCATGAAGTCCTTATTATTATGTGAAGACATTGAGGAGTTTTAAAATGTCTTGTTTACATTTCTTAAAACATATTGGAAATGTGTGCCTAGAGTTGATTGCATCAACAACAGGCACACAGAGCACATGAGGCAATCCTGTGTTTTTGTATCTGTGCACAAATAGCTTTAGGACATAATTTGAATGTGCCAGAACCCAAAGTTCTTCCAGATGTATGCTTTCACTGATTTCTGGAAAATTGCTTCACAATACCCTCTTGCAGTCCATAGACCATGTTGTAAGATCCAGAGGCCACTATGCACTTTCACAGAATCCATTGTGTTGACTCATGCTGTCATTTGTCAGCAAAATAATGTTGTAAATATCCTCACATCTTTCCAGGCTGCCTGGCTTATTTTTCCCCTAAGAGGCTTAGCAAGAGACTTTTTATATAGTTTCCCAAATTTCTACTCCCTCTTTTTTTCTAAAGTGGGAAAAACACTCATTTAGTCAACTGTTTAAAAAGATCTTGTCTCTGGTGACTGAATTTATTGGAATTAAATGATACTCATCACAAAACTCCTTCTTGGTGTATGCTTACTATGATTATATATATATTTAAGCCATCAGAAATAATTTGAACGTCTATATTCTTTAAGCATGACTGAGGCCTGTTTTGGAGCAGACCCAGGAGAAGGTGACTCTCCTAAACAGAATCATCATCTTCATTGAGAGCTGGCCAACAGGGCGTCACTTTCCCTTCTTCTTCCTGGCACAATCCTAGTATTAGTTTTCAACGCTGCATATACGTTTTCATAAACCTGGCAACTTAAAACCACGTGTGTGTCACAGCCCAGCTTCAGAGTCAGAACTCCAGCTGTGACTTAGCGGAGTCCTCTGCTCAGTTTCCCAGAGCTGCAGTCAAGGTACTGACTGGGCTGTGCTCTCACCCAGAGGTTCTTATGAGAACCTGGAATCAGACTCATTCAGGTTGTTGGCAGAAATCATTAATTTGCAGTTTTAGGACTGAATACCTTGACCTCTTACTGGCTACCAGCTGAAGGCTGCCTTTAGATCCCATAGTCTCCTGCAGTCCTGATATGGCAGATCGTCTACTCAAGGCCAGGACAGTCTCCCTACATATCAGCTAGTGAGATTGGCCTTATACATGTGTGCACGTATGTGTGCATGCATGCCTGTGTAATAACCATGGGATTAATAGCCCATCTCCTTTGACATGCTCTTAGAAGCAAGCCATAGGTCCCCCTACTCCCAAGGGAGAAGATCATATATATATATATATATATATATATATATACACACACACACACATGAACAACAGGAGGTGGAAATTTTGGGGAGGCTACCCTGGGCTCTATCTGCCACAATTTCATGACAACTAAAATACCAAAGTAGTGATGTACAGATGAATATAAATTATTTCATCCCTCCCTGGAATCTCACTGTCTTAAAAAAAACTTGTAATTGAACATATCAACTTTCATTTTCTTCTCTTTAAACAAAATAGTGACTACAAAGTAATTTTTGAACAAGACTTGGGGAAAATAAAAAACCCAGAAGATCAGTAGGAAAGAGAAATAATGAGCCCAAGAACATTTAAGAGGTCAAAATTTCAAAAAGTGAGGTATCACTGGTTGTTCTTGTTTTGTGATTTATTTTGCTTTGATTTTTCACAAATATTTGAAACTGTGTGTCTTCATCTGTCTCTCTACTCGAAGTTGCTGCCACCTTCAATAATTTGTAGAACTACCATCTATTTTCTTCACTCAGTTCCTTTTGCATAACACCTGAATTCTCTGAAGAGGTAAGCCTACTTTTGGCTTCAGAACTTGAACACTGGGGTGTAGCCTTCCATCTGTCTTAAACTTTTTAAGTAATTTTTCGCCAAGACAAATGCAGAATATATGCATCAACCTGGGACATTTCTGGTCTCAGAGCAGGAAAAATAAAGGAACCTGTAAGTATTATTTTAAGTACTTTGTTTGCTAGTAGTGTTAGTGGCAAATGAAAAATTTATTCTTAATTGTGTGGGAGACAGAGAAGTGATCTGCATGCCAATGGCCATGTACAGACTTCAGAGACCTAACAGTTTTGAAACTGATATTTATGAACATCTGCTTTTTCCCCATAAATTTTAATATGGACTTCATCCTTTGAAACCTACAAAACTCCCAGGTGCTTCTTCTTTATCTTGGGGAATATGCTTTTTTTAAGTCTCTTTTTTTTCCATGAACACATTTGAAATCACTTTTGTTAAAACAACATTCCTGTGTATACAGTTCCTACTGGAATGCCTGTAATATGTCATTAAATGTTAGCAATACAAAGTGCTGTATTCAGCGTTTTGGGTCTCCAAATGTCCAATTTCAGAACACAAACCATAATAGCCTTAGTAGAACATACTGAAAAGTACTCATTCCCAGGTCCAGTTTATGCCTTTCCCTATTCACAAATAGTTACGTGATGCTTGCTGTGTGTTAGGCACTTCCCAGGGCTACGGTGACAGCAGCCAACACAGAACAACACAGAATCCCTGCCCTCATTGTGTTTATGTTCCTGTGAGCGTAAATGCTCTCTAAATTGAATTCCCTTTAAATTTTCACTATAATCTTTCATATAGTTCATTGGGAATATGCCCTGCACCTGCAAATCAATGATAAATCCATTGGTGATACCAGGCTAGACTGGAATAAAACTGTGAACAAAGTAGACTTGTGTCTGCTCTCAAGGAGTTTGTGGTCCAGCACATATCTCACCTCCATCAAGAAAGGAAGAGCTGGGAGCCAGAAGCATTGGGGTAGGATCTGGGTAGCCAATTGGCTGTTGTCTACTTATATCTCTCATGAGCAGTGCAAACAGTATCTACCCCTTTCAGCTCTTGGAAATAGCAAGAGCTGCTAATGTAGGTAGAGAAGGTAAGAGTGTGTGGGCCAGAATAAAGGAAGTAACATCACAGCTCAGTAGAGGACAAACATGGAAGTCGCTTGGCTCCATGCAAGGGTAGCAAGGACATGGAATTTCCTTTATGAAGAGCAACCTTTTAACAATGCCATTCTGACCACCCTATAACAAAGGATACAAGTTATTTACATAATAGGAAAGCCTCAGGAGGACAGTGGAGCTATTTGATTTGGTTAGGCTAATCATTTTCCATCCATTTACAGTCTAATGGAACCTCTCTCCTCTGCCTCTGAGACAGGAGCGCATTGGCAGGGCACCACAGGTTAGCTAAGATGTGGGCAGTCTTCTTGGTGTGTCAATCCTATTCAGCCATTTGGAAGAGAAAAGTTAACAAATTTATTGATAAGTAATTTAAGACATTAGTTTCCATTAAGACCAATATAGCTATATTATGGAATAGAAAGCAAAATTTGTATACAATTTTAAGATAAAGCATCAAGACTAAAATCATGCTGGAGCCAATGGCTAAGGGATTAAACCTGACCTGTTTTCCATCAGCCCCTCAAAAGCCAACTTAATGAAAATAATATTTTGATATGAATATTTGGTTCTTAATTTTATAAAAATGTAAGTAAAATACAAATCTCCCAGCAGCATTTCCTTCAGCCACACTGAGGCCCAGGATATGTCTTCTTAGATATTCTGGAGCTGTTGCCAAATGCAAGAACATCCTGGGCTACTTTGAGCTGACACCTGCCCCTGGCCCTCTGCGTCGGGGGCCTGTGCTCTCTCTGTGTTTGAGTACTCCCCAGAGAGAGTTTGAACTGATTGCTCTTTTCCAAAGTTGGCCAAGAGAAGTTTTTTTCAATACTCCCTCTTGGTCCTCAGCACTGAATCTGAGCATTGGCCTTCCTCATGCCACATTCTCCTTTGCCTAGTCTCAAAATGCTGTGGAGCAGGTGGAGCAGCTCATGTTCTTTGTGCTGTGTGTTCCTGAAACAGGATCTGGACCAGGTACAGCTCCATCTGGAAGAAGTGAGGTTCTTTGATGTGTTTGCCTTCAGCGAAACAGCAGGAGCATGGCAATGCTTCATGTGCAACAACCCTGAGAAAGCAACCGGTGAGAGACCCCCACTTGCTGCTGGGAACCATTTGTGCCCCATGGGTTTACAGGCATCTATGAGTCTCACTGCTCGGGTTGACCTTCCTCTTGCCTTAATGTTCCAAGGTGCAACAATGCATAGAGTTTTTCCTCATCTCCTCTGCTTTATGCTGAGAAAGGTATATCAACCAAAGAGGTGGTATTGGAAGAGAGAGAAACATAGAACCAGAAATGAATATGAAGAAAACAGGACCAGTCATTTTGCCCTGAAAAGCTTTTTGCATTGCATGCAAATGACACCAAGGGTTAGCCAATAAACAAGCATTAGGAGATGTTCCAGAGCCTAGAAGAAACGAGACCACACTGAATGAGTGAGAGAGCACACAGACAATATTAGCTCACAGTTATCCTCTGCACTGGCACTTGATGATGGAACTGTGTAAACAGTGGCACATTTAAAGAATAAGGAATGACTTGAGGAATAATCTCATGAGCAGCTCTTCACCCTTACCCTTCTTTTCTGCTGCCCAAGGAATCCGGTCCACGGAGCCTTCCAAACAACAATCGCTGTTACTGAGTGGGCGCCAAGCCCTGTGCTGAACCCGTCCACTACCTTGTCTGATGTAATCAACCCTGAAGTAATCTAAAGCAGGACTGATACTATCTCTGTTCTACTGGTGGAGAAACTGAGGCACAGAGAGATTTGGTGACTGCCCAATGGCACACAGGATTGAAACCAAATCTGACTCGAGAACCCATGCTATTCACCATCTTTGCCATTCTGCCTCTTCATTACACTTGACCCAATCCTACCAGTAGAGCTAGGTTGAAACTAAGCCTCTATCCAAGAATATTGCCTTACTAATTTGCTGCTTGAGAGGACAGAGTTCTCGATGCTGGTGCTGCCCAAGAACTGTGTTCAGGCCTAGGGAGAGCAGTGTGAAGCCCTGTTGAACACAAAGACTTTGTAGATGAGCCATCCCCCTGGAAAGCCATTCATGCAGCACCTCTACCCAGTCTTTTACTTTGGGGATTTGATGCATCTTAAAGATTACCCATTGCGGCAAGTCTGTCCTCTGTTAGCTGCCAAGATGTGGAGGCTGAATGGAAGAAGTGTGTTGATTTAGCCAGATGGATGTATGAGGGCCTCGCAGAGAGGCATCAATTAAAATGCATTACCCCACGGAAAAGGTATGGCTGCAAGAAGCCGGCAGTTAAAGACACCAGCCTTCAGGAGGCACAGATTGCTGGCTGATTATAGATTCTGCACTGAGTCACTGCCAGAGTGAACACCCCAACTTTTAAAAAGTTAACTTAAGCAAATATGGAATTAGGGGATTGAATGTCTCCTTTCTAATTACACCTGATTTCACAGAGGAAAAAGAGCATAAAAGAAACTTTATTTAAGAGCATAGTGAAACAAGGTACTTATCTTAGGTGGTTCTGAGAGGTCCTTAAAGAGTTTTCACTCCCAGTGAGCTGACTCCTAGTTCAATAAATATTTAATCGTATCTGGCTGAGGGAGGCCTCAGCAAAGGAGCTCAAAGTTAAAAACACAAAGTGTTCCTTTAATATATGTTTTCTCAAATTCACTGCCATGCGCTTGAAAAGAACATTTTGCACATTCATTCTTTCATATTTGCGTTTCTCAGTTAAATATAGACTGAGAACATATAGCAATAAAAATTCACACAAGGCCAAATGTCTCATAGCAGAACATATTGAGTCAAAATGTTTGGCCCTGAAAACTTCAGCATGTTTGGATTTCTTTGCTCATTTCCTTTTTACTACATGAAAGGGGGTTTGAGTCTCACAGAAATCCTATTTTAAACTGTTATTTTCAGCAAAAACCCTTCACTCCCTGAAAAGTTTATATATATTGTTGATTTCATCTTCTGATTTTATATAAGCATATTAATCATACATTTAATTGATGGGAAAGGCTAACATAACACTTCTGCTAAATATATTATTCATGAGGTTGGTATTTGCATTCATGTCCTGCTTAAATTCTAAGTTTAAAGATGATCAAGACACAGGAATATTTATTTTATTATTGGTCATGCACAGCTGGCATAGGGCTTGTACCCATTTTTCATGTATGCAATGCACATTTAGTTCTTTGGTTGAGCATCCTCTACAGGCTGACCTTTGAGATAGAAACATGAATAAGGGTCATTGTTTCTGCATTAAGGAAAATTTGCAATCCAGATAGGGCCTGAAGATGTATATGAGAATCCAGTGTATTTCTTGTGTATTTTTAGTGTGTGATAAATGACTTTAATTGAGTGAATGAATAATATTTAGAGGTGGTCGTCAGATGTCTCTTCAGCATTAAAATGTGCTGTTTCAAGTTTTTTGTGAACCATGTCAGAGTCATCCCTATCCCACGGCCAGCACATGTGAATCTGGTAAGCAGAGGTTGGTGCTGTCTCCTCCTTGAGAGAAGTCACCACACATGAAGCGAAGGATCTGCTTCCAGGCCTGCTCAGCATCTCACTCTGCTGGGCCCACTGCTGACTGCGGACTGTGCTGGGTTTCATCAGTGCCCCTGTCAGCCTCAGGAAGGAGTGGCCTAAAGAAGTAGCATTAGAGACTAGGACAGAAAAACAAAGAAACTGGACTTTTGATATGTTTTTAAAACAACAGAAAAATAATTCAATAATTACTTTCTTTTTTTAATGTTTCAAGTATTTCAAATTTTCAAGTATTCAGTATTTAGGGGAAAATGCTGGCCAACATCTCTGAAAGAGGAACAAAACATGAGGCAGTATGGTGGGCAACATGGCAATGATGCACCTATGTCTCACATCAGAGTGCCTGGATTCAAGCTCTGGCTCTAGATCCTAATTCCAAGTTCCTACTATTCTGGGCCCTGGGAGGCCACAGGTAATGGCTCAGATACTTGGATCCCTGTCACTCACATGCGACTTGGACTAAGTTCCTGAGTCCTGGCTTTGGCCTGATTCAGCCTCCAGCTATTGTAAACATTTAGGAGTTAACCAGTAGCTGGAAGCTCTCTCTTTCTGTCTCCTGTCTCTGGAATAAGAAGAAATATAGTATTAAAATTTCATTAGACATCAAGAATGACATCCAAAAATATAAAATACTTCTTAGCAATGCGTAAAGTATGCCAAAAGATTCTTCAGAAACCAACAGCACATCCGTGACTCACAGTCCCTGACATACATTTCCTCTTCAGGTGCAAGTGAGACCACCACCTTCCCATTAACTCCACCATGGACACGGAAATTCACGAGATTTAACTTCTTGTGGTCAGCAAAACCTTTTATCCAGTTAAGTGCAGATAAAGTCAGAAGTTACTAGTACTAAGCTTTCTAGGCATTTTTCTCATTTTCTACCATCACTGGCTCCATTTTACAGATGAGAAAATTGAAAAACAGAGACGGCCGGCGCCGCGGCTCACTAGGCTAATCCTCCGCCTAGCGGCGCCGGCACACTGGGTTCTAGTCCTGGTCGGGGCGCCGGATTCTGTCCCGGTTGCCCCTCTTCCAGGCCAGCTCTCTGCTGTGGCCCGGGAATGCAGTGGAGGATGGCCCAGGTGCTTGGGTCCTGCACCCCATGGGAGACCAGGAAAAGTACCTGGCTCCTGGCTCCTGCCACCGGATCAGCGCGGTGCGCCAGCCGCAGCGTGCTGGTTGCGGCGGCCATTGGAGGGTGAACCAACGGCAAAGGGAAGACCTTTCTCTCTGTCTCTCTCTCTCACTGTCCACTCTGCCTGTCAAAAAATAAAAAAAGAAAAAAAAGAAAAGAAAAACAGAGAGACAAGATAATTTTCCCCACACATAGGGACCTAGTGGTAGAACCAGGCTCTTAACTCAGACAGGCTGGTTCCAGAACATGAAATTTCAAACTCTAAGGCAAATCTAAGTACATTGATAATGGAAATTCCAAGAATAATTATTCCTTAGTGTTATAATGTCTTATAAAGGCCTACAGCAAGTTTAATATTTTAGAAGTGATCTGCATTCTTGAAGACTTATTCTGCTAGAAGAGGAACAGGGATTTTGGTATGATAATGTGTGGGAAATGATTACATGAGGGAAATGATTATAGTAGAAGCTATTTCCAATTGCTCCAATTGCTGACTCTGTTTTTGATAATCATTTGATAAACATACAGAGTAGAAGATCATACAGTCATTGTAATAAAGCAATAATGCAGGGAGACTTGTCTGATGGTGGTGATTGTAGATCCATCAGTCCTCATGAATGAGAGAACAGCGATTGAGCAAGTAGCATAGAACTTATTTCTGGAAAACCCTGTTTATCAGTCCCCTGTGTCTGGGTTCTGCGTAGTATATGCTGACTGTCAGGGTTACTCAGCTGGGCTGTCCTGGTACACATCTGGCTCTCTATTCAGTCACATTTTTAAAAAGTAGGAGGAAGAACTAGGTCATGACTTTCCTTCGTTTCTCAAAACACACGGGATGCCTTTGTTCTTACACCCTCACACACACACCAAAAAAATAAAATAAAATAAAATAACTTAGATTTTTGGCACTCAGGCCCTGCTCTATAAATCTGAGCCATCCCTGGGGCAATTACTCTCAAAGTCACCAGACATTCAGAGTTGGAACATGACTGTCAGTAGGAGGCCTCCTTGAGTACAAAAAGAAAATGCAAGGACTTCAGCAGGCAGCTTTCTATCAAGACTCCTCTTTAGTACTTGACGTCAAAGATTGATGTTATAAGAGCATGCTGTCCATTACATCATCTGCAACAGAGATGATTTCAGAAAGGTGTCAGAGTAAAAAGGCATCCCCTGTTAGGAGATGCCTTCAGGTGGGAGAAACCATTGGCAGTGTTCACGTGGGCTGGATGACTTTCTGCTCCAAATTCTCATGAGGAAATGGCCTAAATGACCTCCAGGAAGACCTAGCCCATAAGGCCGCAAATAGCTTTCTGAGTCCTTTAAGATGGAAATCTTCTATTTAATTTCAATATAAAATTTCACAGGAAGAAGACTTAATTTGGATTCATGCAGTGGCTGAGTTT